ATTTCCTAGTGATATGTAACATTCTTGAGATAGATATAATTGATACATATAGTATTAAGTTCTTCAATGTGTACGATTGTTTGCCGTTGGTGAACGCAGATTATGATCGTTGTTGTTATGTGTAAGGTTCAATTTTTTTCTTGAATTATATACTGCTTGAATTTCGCACCTGTAATATGAAATTAAATTATGGAAAGGATGCGGAAAAGTGTCTGACGACAATGATGCTATTTATAAATACTTTAAATGTACTGTAAGGTTTTCTTTGCGCCAATTAAACGAAACAAGATTCAAGGATACAAGGCTTGTCAATGTGATTGAATCAAAGAGAATAGATAACGCAAGAATAGTTTACAGTAATAAAAAAAATGATAAAGATATAATTTCATTATTATGTGGTTTTGTTTGGGGTTTTTTTTTTTGGGTAGAGGGGGTTACGTCACATCGACACAGTATAGGTCATATCGCGACGTTCCAGCTTTACGGGCGGAGGAAGACCTTGGTACCCTTCCGTGCATTATTTCAGGCACGAACGGGCACCTGAGTAGAACCACCGACGTTCCGTTATTTCATTATTAATAGATTGAAATTAGTTGTCAAAAGTAAATGATCCGATTTCTCGACAATGCATTAGATTTTGTTTTAACTTACGTTCTATTGAATAGAAATTATTTTTATCTATATTCTGATAGATGGATACATGTCGATATTGCTCCAGGAAAAGATTGTACAAATTGTGATTTTATATCATAATGGTGATTAAGAAAAGAATTCTGAAAGAAAAAAAACACAACTTTGTAAAATTATTATTTGCGTACAGGTATAATCTATAATTCAGCATTCCCGTCGTGTTATGTAAAGTTCTTCCGTACATTGGTAATGTTTGGTTTGCACTTAACGCAGTACAGCCACTTTAATCCACAAGATTTTACTGGCGACGTGAAAGTCAGCAAATGTCTTGCCAGTACGTCATAAATAAAGCTTGAATTATTTCATTTTCGATAGCATTAATACTTAACAAAGGGAAAACCATACACCGTTTTGATATCGGTAACAATAATAATAAAAACGTAATTCTTAAAACGCATAATATCTTTGATAGTTGATACAGTTGATAATAGTAAGATAAACTCCAAAACCTAATTACCCAATTTCTTTAATTTTATAATTTACACTCGTCTCACCGAAAACAATTTCAGAACCTAAACATATTTATTCACCAAGCATCGCTTAGTCTGCGTCTGCGTCAATGGTAATGTTTATTGGTGTTAACGTTTTCTTCTATACAAATATATTGTATAGCCCAATTCGCTGTTGTAAATAGTTGTCGTTCTTGTCTACGAAAGTTACTTCCCGTGGCACCAGAGCGCATGTGCAAACGATGCTATCCATTTCCGGATAGTTCAGCATCAGCAACCAAATGTAAACAATGGGGAAAATATATTGTTGTGCACAAGGATGTTCTAATTTTTCTGGGAAAATAGTAAATGGAAAGAAGATATCTATGCACAGATTTTCCGCAGTTTCAAAGATTAGAAAAATTTGGGTGCAAAGAGTGAAAAATCACCGAAAAAATTTTGTTTGGACGGACAATAAGCTAAAGACTGCAAGATTATGTAGCGCACATTTCGTGGGATCTCTAGGTCCAACACCAAACATTCCGATACCAAGCATATTTCCTCAAAAGATTTACAAATCCTATACAGTAAGTGTTATTTGGACAGCAGATTTAAATAATTGTTTACAATTTACAATACACTAAATATAGACATGTAAGCGCGTGCGTGACGTAATAAATTCAGACACTACACATTCTGAAGTACATCAGCTGACAGGTTTATAAGATTGTTTACTGTTTTCATGCTATGTTTATCAGTTATTATGGAATTGAATTTTTTTTAGTTTTTTTTTGTTTATTTTTAGATGCATTAATGGATTCATTAAAATAATTTTTTATATTTATGTACCCAATATTAACTTAAGCCAAGTTAAGGAATATAAGCCAAAGTCAGGCATTCGATTATTATAAATTTTTGATAGAAAAATTAGAAAATGATTAATATATAAACTGAAAATATTTAACAGCTAGTATGATGGATTCGCATATGTAACTGGTGTTGAAAAAACCTGATCCAATGGGAACAAAAACAGATGGAGGAACAGGGGCCCAGATGGGACGTTGAAAAGGGCCTAAAATTCCCGGATGGTACTGGAAATTTGGTTCTGAATGAAAATCACCTGTCTGAAATACAATCAATGCCACATGCATGATTATGCAGGTTTGACATTGTTTTTTTTTGTAAAGCTTAGACATGCATTATAATAGATATGCATTATAATGATCATGTGGGTGCGGTAGCCTAATGGTTAAGTTGTCTGCCTCGCAACCTCATGATCTTGGGTTCGAACCCCACAAAGGGGCACAACCATGATTCCTCATCTTACACCAGTACTGGTTGGTTCCAGGAAGCAGACTCGAGGGTGATTTAAATAAGTTGTCAGAACTTACTTCACAATCAAGCCAAATAAATATGTTTAAACTAAATGATCTTGTCCAACTTCTTTAAAAACCCTCTTACAAATACTTAAAAAAAGAGGATAATAATTAATTTTTAAAATGGTATGATTTAATATGTTATCTTAACATACATATATAGCCTAAATGATAATTAATATATATGAAAATGTTTGATAGGTATGAAATTTTACTATTTCATGTTTAAATGTTGAATTCTGCTTAAGCCGGTGCTAGGGGGCGTGGACGGTAACTTGCACTTTCCAGTACCGTCCATGAACAGGCTCAATCAAACCGAGCCTGCCCAAAACATTTTTCCGGGTGGGTTTCTTTAGGGATTTTTGTTTTCATGTTAGCATGAGTATTTTGTCCCCACTTTTCCTCCCCTATTCATTAAAAAAATCCATAATGAATTTTCTCAAAATACATTTTAAAATTTAAATTTTAGGGATGGGTTTTAAAAGCAACCTTTCTAAAACCCGAGGAAAATACAGCCGACAGACCAGGGGCCCCCCAAAACCCGGGAACCAAAACTGTAGAGTTTGGGGGAAAGTGAGAAAAGCAAATCCCAAAACCAAAAACCAAATTATGGGCTGAAAATTATTCAAACCCTCACCAGATTTTGTAATTTTAAAACTTACAAAGTGATGAAAGTGTTTAATTGTTTTACACCAGGTTTCCCTTCGATTAGCAGCCTTCTTATGGATGGTTTCAATGCCCTTGAACCAATTGGGCCTGCTCTATGTCATATTGGAAAGGTGAAGGTTCCAGTTTAGAGAAAAAATACCAAAAAGAAGGAACAAAGAAACCAGGTCCTATGAGAAAGTTACGGCTGGTAGATGAATTTTTTCTGGTGTATATGCGTCTACGATTAGGACTTTTGCAAGAAGACTTATCACAACGGTTTAAAATCTCTGTTTCTACGTGTAGTAGCATCTGTAGAACTTGGATTCGACTCCTTGTTGAAGAACTTGTTCCAAAACTCATGCCATGGCCAAGCAAGGGAGCAATTGTATCAAATATGCCCGAATGCTTTAAGGTTCGATACCCGGACACAAGGATTATTTTGGACTGCACCGAACTCAGGTCTGAAACACCAGAATCCCATCAAGCAAAGACGCTCCTTTATTCAAATTATAAGTCACATATGACCTGGAAAGTGTTAGTTGGAATAACTCCCAATGGTGTCCCTTCTTTTGTTTCACGGTGTTATAATGGCAGTATATCTGACAAAAGGATAACAGAACTTTCAGGTCATTGAACGCCGCCTTTCCTTGTTGATCTTGTTTTTCATATTTTAAATTTATGTCAGTCAGGTGATGCTATAATGGTTGACAAAGGATTTTTAATTTCTAGTACATGTACTGAAAAACATTTAAAATTGATTATACCCCCCTTTAAAACTAAGTTAAAGTTTTCTAGACGCGAGGTTGAAGAGACGAGAAGAATTGCAAATTTAAGAATCCATGTTGAAAGACAGATGGAACGGACAAAAAACTTTAGAATTTTGCAAGGAGTTATTCCGATAACATCTCATAACATGATTTCAGACTTATTTCAGTTATGTTCAGCAATGACTGTGCTCCAATGTCCCTTGGTAAAAAATTGAGACATTAAATATATAATGCATCCAATGTTTATGGTGGATTATATGTTTGCAGAGTTATGACTTAAGTAATACTTGGACTTGTGGCACAATAAAGTAAAATGCCCATTTTATTTTTTATTTGTTTATTTTAATGTCAAACATTTTAACATTATAGATAAAATAAAGTACTTTCTTTACATCAAATACTGACATAAAAGGCTGTCACCTAAAAGGAAGAAAAATCATTGGTAATAACATGAAATTCAAAGCTTTGTATGTTTGTGTATTTATTTTGGAGATAGCAGCACTATGTATACATTATCATTATCATTTATAATTCTAAATAAACTCACTTTATATACCTGTACGATTTTCAAGTTTATTTAACCCTGGAATTGATACAATGCTTAAACATCTTAAAGGGACTCCACTGAGGTTTTTTAGACATAATGGGACTGAAAATATTTTTTCCAGATAAATGTACAATTTCATGATTTTATGTTTGTTTAGAAACCCTTTAAACCCCCGGTTTTGCAAAAAATTTTGATCATATGCGACTTTTTGTATTTCCAGAATATTTTTTTAAATTTTTAAAAAAAGTTTACCCAAAAAGAAAAAGGTTTTTAAAAGCTTTTTAACCCCAAAAACGGGCCAAAAAAAACAAAAAAAAAATTACGATTTTTAAATTTTTTTCAAAACCCATATTTCTTAAAATCTTTGCATTATTTCTGATTAAAAATGCCCCCCTCATTTATGTTTAAAAAATTTTAAATTTCTATGTTTTTAAAGGGTTTTAAAAAAACAGTTTGGGGGTTCCCTTTAAAAAAAAAGGGGAAAAAAAATAAACCAAATTTAAAAAATTTAAAAATTTTTGGTTACCTTTCCCGTAAAAATGTACCACTATTTTGATTTCATTTTCAGTCATAAAATGATCAATTTTTTAATTATATCCAAATCCATATGATATATTAGTAGGTTTTATTGACATAGAACATTGAACAGTTTCACATTGTCTCAGATCAGTATGGACCATAAAAGGTATGTCAATTGAAATTCAACACTTTCATGCCTTGTGAAGTTCTTTCATGATATTATTATTCCAGAAGTGTTCACATACTTTTCTTTATTTTTCTTGTGAACACTTCTGGAATAATAATATCATGAAAAAACTTCACAAGGCATGAAAGTGTTGAATTCCAAAGGTCAATGTTAAAATAAATCCTTTCAATTGACATACCTTTTGTGGTCCATACCACAAAATCACACCACTCGCATCCTTTCAAAGCCATTTGACCTTGAACTTGGGAGAAATATTTATGTTCTGGCTTCAAAGAAAGTGACCCATCACTATTTTTTTTACAAAAGAAAGTCTTATTTTCAGCAGCTTGTTCTGGTGTGGAATGTCTAAACTTAAAAGGACACTTAATTTCCACAAGGCCAGTTTCCTCACCTAATGTAACAACACCATCCGGACTAGCACCAATGTATGTGTACTTTGGATGGATCAACAATCCAGACTCTGTTACACTGACATTACTGTATATTTTTTTCATTTCTTTGGTGTACAATGCCAGTGCAACCTTTTCCTTCTTTTTGCCCCACTCCAATGCATCTGTTGAGGCAAACTTGTAGTACCCCATTATTGATTTCACAACAGAAGTCACTTTATTACAGTTTACTATTGTTCCAAAGTTTGATGCAGTGAGGCGCCCTTTCCTAGCAAGTTCCCAAGCATCATTGTTCCTTTGACCTCTAGTCAACTCTTCTACCCTTATAGGGTCAAAGACCAAAGTCTTCTCATATTCAATTATATGTTCTTGAAACAAATCACTCTCAATGTCAACATTGGGTTGAAAACACAACATGGGTTCTGGCAAGCAACATTGGGCTTTAATTTCCTCTGAAACGGGTGGCTTTGGGAACATTTTATGGAACCCAGCATTTGGTAGAACGGATAACATATTTAGTCTGAATTTTTCACTGTCAATATTAGCTTTATTTTTACCAGATGCTGGTGAAAAGTGGTTATAGTTTGTCATCTTTGAGGTTGCGGACTTCATGACCTTTCGGAAATGGATGTCCTCTGCCTTCTTTGGAGACAATTTACGTTTCCTTGGCTGGTTCCACTTACATTGAGATGATGTTGAGGCAAGCGTCCCATCAGCTTTCTTAATAGTAACATCCACCAGGCACCACAATAAGGCTGCAATATGATTGCATGCTTCACCTTCACTGAAACATATAAACATTATAATTTAAATTGATGGTATATTTATACAAATATAAATAATAATACCGTTCAAAAAGTATCAATTGTAGTTTTAATCAAAATAATGTTTCATGCAGTATATACTTATGAGCACTAAGCCCGAATAAATGGTTAACTCAGGGTAAATATACCAGTAATGTGAATTTATTGATTTCACCGTTCTTTGGTCCATTTACTAAGCTGTTGTTAAAATTGTAAAGACACATATCATTGTTATATTTTTGTAACAATACGGGTATCTGACAGTGGTGTTAAAATTATAAAGATTGTTAACAATAAAAAAATATAATTACCCGGCTGGACATGTACATTCTGCTGAATGAATCTGGCTTGTCGCCTTTGATAGACAAATCCATGTATCATAATCTGGGTCTTTAGATTGGTTTGCTGATGGCATCGAGGGAATAACTTTGCACTTTACATAGCCATGACTAAATTGACAGTTAATTTCATTGAATTCAACACTGTGAACATGGTTGTCCTCATAAAAAACTCTTGCTTTCAGTTGTTTTTTGGCTCCCATAAGTTCACCATCTATAGTCCTATTCGAATTGTATACCAAATAATTATATATATCCTTTTCAGTCAAGTCTGGAATGTTAGAAACATCCTTTGACCAACCACTTTTCAATGTTTTTGGACAGGGTAATTTTTCCCCTAACGGCGAAATAAACTTGGACAAATTCCTTTGTTTACGAGCTAGGCTGTCGTTTAATTTCAACTGATTAGAATCAGGTAACCGAAGCGCTAAGACGCCCTTGGCTCTTGCTTTCAATTCTTTCGAATTTCCACCAACATTTTGATTGTGAAGTCTCAAAAATTCTTTCAATTGAGGCACTTTAAACTGATCGATTTCTTCTGGCGATATATTTTCTTTGTTATTGGAAGCCATATTTGCGGAAGGGAAACTACCCACTTGATAAAACGCTGCCGAATTATAATATCGTTATCGGATCTCCGAAAAGAGCTATAGCAAATTGTGATAAGTAAGTCATTGGCATAGTAGTGTAGTTATTTTTAATTGAACTAAATATCTGTTTAGCCTACAAACGAGTATCCGTACACAAGAAAGAATCCATTTTTTTATCAGGAAATTATATATCTAAAACTGGAGAGTAGTATACACTGCTTTTGAAATAGTTGGACATTTTCAAAATATTTAGAAGAACAGTAAAACACAAACTGGAATTCAGTTTTTCCTTGACAATATTTGTTGGAAAAGGTAGCTAACGTTGTATGATAAATTAGATTTTATAAGGCTCTTGCAGTCTGTTACTGACATCAAATGGTTTCAAAGTTTGCCTATAGAGAGTTTAAGAGAGCTTAGCTACCGTATCACTCATTCAATTTATAGCTAATTGTTATGCAAAACTTGTGTTATTATTATTTTGCATAGAGAATCTTTAACAGAAACCCATGATTTATAAGGCAGTCTGTAAAACAGAGGAATGGATGTTGGTACCCATCTCGTATATATACTATTTGCTAGGAAATTAATATAATTTCTTCTGTTAAGTGCCTTATGAACACATCTGCGGATGATTCTTTATTCAAAATTTCACAATTTTTAGTACGTATTGGCTGAGGTCAAAGCGTGCACGGTAGCTGTCTTCTATGAATAGGCTTGGAACAGCGCATGATCCATTTACAAAGTTTTTAGCAGGTTCCGGGTTTTTTATATTCCATGTAGCAAAATTAAACTGCTGTTTATAAAATTAATGTACTGTAAATAAACAATCTATTCTACTGCATAGTATAAATTTCTATCAACACAGCAACAGCTTGGTTATTGTCATTTTATGTTTAACATAGTACTAATTTATAAATATTCAAACCTCGTACAAAGGTGGATATGTCTTGCACAAGCAAGCTCTCTGACTCCAACGTGCATAAAATGCATGAAAAGAAATTAGCGTTGATTTTCTTTCTTTTTTTGAAATTTACCTGACAAAATATATCTTATTTATACGTTTATAGTATCATTTAGACATGCTTATTGCGACATTCCACCGAAGTGTCTAATTTAGTCTGATTAGTAATTACTTTTTTGTAGTTTTGACATCTTTTTAAAATCTTTTTTGTCTATCAAGCTTAAACCCCCACCATGAAATGATGTCATGTTGATGCCTTTATATAAGGGGGGTTACATAATTATTGGTATTTTCGTCATGACATAAGGCATATAAATATATAAAAAATACAAAAGTACATTTTGTGTTTTAAACGTCATAATGTAATGTTTTTTAAATCTGGTTTAGGTTATCAAAATCATATTCCTGTTTCGGCGCCATATGACTTAAATTGTGTTGGCGCGTTGTAAACTAACACACATACTTAATAAAATAAATAAATAAATAAACGAATATCACAAAAAACAACAAAGATAATAATAAAATAAACATCATAAGGTTAATTAAATTAATCATTTTTATCATTAAAATCATAACCAAGCATTGCTTTATGAAAAACTATATTTTTTCAATTTTATATTGTTCAATGAAACATATTGCAATTGAAAGAGCATGAATGATCGCAACAATTTACTGTAGACTATTCAAAGTAAAATATAAGCTTTTAAGCTTTTTGACATTTAGCCTGCTAGCGACAACTGGCGTAGTGCAGACCAAGATTAGCACGCTCATCCGGTTTGATCATGGTCTGCAATGTTTGCTTTTAAGTCAGTACATAATTGTTCCCTATAGAGATGAAACGCATTATCTAGATTGGAAGATGGACATGTCCGTTTAAAATATTTAGCATGGTAAAGGTTAATGTATGAAAGCAAACATACGCCGATCATAATATATAGTACATTTTGATTATCGCAAAATAAAGATATTACAAAATGTGGTAGCGAACAAATAACTTTGACATAAAACCATTACAGTATCCAATGAAATTAATTAAACAATTATACAGCATGCCAATAACAACAACGCAATAAACTATCGTATAAAACAGAAAAACAGAAAAGTATCAAAGAGGCGTTCTCTTACATGCAAACGGCTATACAGTAACCTATAGCAAATTAAATGCATGTGCGATATCACTAGTTTATACCTGTATGTTTCAATGAACTTTTCGCAAAAATGAAAGGCATAATATTATAAAATTATTTTAACTGATAATTATATCTGCAAAAATATAATCAGTTTTTAACTGAGCAACAGAATTATTGATTATGAGATTACAATACAATTTACAGTACTATACCATCGGTTATGTACACAGCTGTCAAACCTATTTCGGTGCTAGCCGAGTCTTATGTTGATTTTGCATTGGTTATGTTTTATAAGGTGTGAAATAAATCAAGATACCACCGGCTAAGCAAGTGGATCTTATATTCTTTTTAACCCTTTACCTCATATATACGCGAAACAACGCACTTTCGACCCCCCCTTTTTTTAGGCCTCAAAGGGTGAAAAAATGTCTTATTTGGGCCCCAAACACATGTTTTCGTTTGAGAAATGTTGCTAAAAAATTGAGCACTTTTTCGGCGCCGCCCCCCATCCAAAAGATACATCAGGGGGTTGCCAGAAGGGGGATGTGCCCCCTTCTGCTAGGGGGGTTTGAAGGGGGGCGGAGTCACCCTCATCGCCAAGAAAATTTTGGACTTGTGAGAGGCTAAAAATGACCCCAGGTCGATCATAATGTAACGTTTAACCAACGCTGAAAAGCCTTGGACTCTATCTCAATCCCTTAAGAAGTTGCAGCACTTTGAAATAAATTTTGATGGAAGAAATCGAGGCAAAATAGTGATTTTTGGCAATTTTGAGATGTCCCCTCGTTGCCATGGTAACAGGAAATTTAAGACTGAGCATGTCGTTACAAAGGCAATGGTCCAGTCAACATTTGTGCCAAGTTTGATTAGTATTGAAGCATTTTTCATAGTTTCATAGCAGTTTGAACTTGTAACAAGAGGCTTTTCAGTGAAAACGGCCATTTTTCACAATATGCTCATGGGGGAAAGGGTAAAGTATAATACAAAAATAAATTTACTTTCAACTTCCAGGTCGGTGTTCAGATTATCAACAAAGTGGTAAAGATGAGCAATAAAACTGAAAAAAAATCTTATCTCTTAAGCAATCTAATATCAATGATTGGTTATTTGTATTTAAAATTGAATTATTTATCAAGCATTCATTGCATGCAATCTAAGTTTTATTTCCCTAACACTCTTATTTGAAAATTTAATGTTGGGTAGTTTCGAAGTGCTTGTAATAAACCTTAGAAGCTTTCTAAAATAAGCATACGCTATGTGACGCAAAATACAACACTGTTTTATTTGGAAGCTTTTAAGTTTGTTGTTCACTCGATGGTTTAAACAATTAAATTGGGCTTAATCTTTACTTATTACAAGTATAATTGCTTTGTTTAAGGGCAAACCGATATAAACTTGTCAAAGAACTAAAACACTACTTTAATAATTCAGAAACATAGTTAATCGATACATAACCAAGATGGTTCTACCCACATAATAGATTTTTAAAAAATTCTGGTCGATACTAATTCTTTTTTGTGCTGATCATTGAATACTGCTTAAGTCGGCGCAAGGTGGTATGAGAGATGTTGCATTTTTGATTATTTTCTCATGAACTAACTTAATCCAAGTCTGCGATTAGTCTTTGAAATTAACACAAATTTTGTTTTACATTGCTTTTATGGGTTCTTCCCTTTAATTTCCAGACCAGATTTTTAGAAGTTCGTATTCATTGCCAAGATAAAATGCATTATGAAAAATGTTTCAGTTTTTACACAAACACATGTGGATTTTAACAGCAGCTGTCTACGAGTGTTACATGAAATACTGTTGAGATCGGATTCTATATAGTGAGATTGGGCGAAACAAAAATGATATTCAAAAACATTTGTCCACATATATAAAAAAAGCTAATGAAATCTGTATCATTTTCATTTTTGTAAGGCGAGATGACCTGTTAAAGTACGATGTAAAAATAAATATTGAAATATAAATTGGCCGTAGATGCTCTCGCTGAACGTAAAGTGGATATATTAATCTGTGTATGTAGTGTCCTTTGGGGATAATCATATTTCTTTCATGATGATAGTATAAACATCTCATTAGAATAGACAAACTAAAAATAAGTATTAATGTCCATACAAATGTAGCCAATCTCTCTAGTTAAGAAAGTTAAACCAATAAAGGAAAAGTGGTGGTCTTTGAAATATGTTGTGTTACTGTAATTAATGTTTTTGGCTGATCCATGTGAAACAAGTAAAGTCTGTTAAATGTGAAGAAATTGTTTTTTAATGAAATGATAAGGGAGACAGAGAAAAATCAAACGTTTTAAATAATTATTGTAAAGAATAACAAGTTGTGACATTATTTATTTTTGTTGAATTCTCTTTATCTTGGAGATATAAACCGTACATTTATTTTTCTTAGATGAAATTTGTACAATACTTGTTTTTGAGATGTTTTTATATGACTGTGCATTTACTCTTAAGTATGTATTTTGTATCATTGTTATACATGTCATGCTTAATATATGCATTGAAAATGATTTGTATTAAAGTTTTATTCTTTATATCATTCATTCATTCATTCATTCATTCATTCATTCATTCATTCATTCATTATTATCATTGTTATTATTATTATTTTATTATTATTATTATTATTATTATTTTTATTAAATATACGGTTGACTATTAAACATTTAGATGTGGAAAAATGAAAAATGCGAACATATTGAAGATGGCTGGAATGATTTCCAGCAATTTTAGCGAACAATTATTTCACAAAACATCAGTTACAGCTATTATAATGGCTTCTTTAGGAGACGAAAATCTTTCATGCCTTTAGTGATAATTTGAGTATAATTAATGCATTAAAAGCTTTTGAAAAAAAATACCATTGCATTTAATTGAAGATGTTAACGTTCAATCTCAATTCTGAGAATAGTTCACAGATAGTGTTATGCGGATGTGCTTTAAAGTAATCAT